AGGCAGGCCACGTCCACGAGAGAAGTCTGAGTGTGGCCCAGACGGCTGAAGCGGGTCCTTTTATCTGCCTCCAGGGGTTACTCCCAGGCTTGGCGGCAGCGGCCGCGCGACAGCTCTGCGCCACCCAGCAGCCATGATATCCTCATGGCTGCCAGCAAGGATAGCCTCCGCCCATTTGAGCAGCGGCTTCGTGCAGGCATCGACCAGGGGGTCGCAGCGCAGCGTCCACAGGCGGAGCAGTCGGTCCTTACCGATTGCGTCGCCGCCCAGCGCCGAGGCCATGAGCGCCCTTGCTCGGGTGAGCCGCGTCGGGTCCATCCCTAGGCAGACCGCCCCATACAGCACAGAAGGGAGAAATCCCATGCGCGCAACTTGAAATGTGCGCGCGCCCTGCTTGCCGAGGCTTGACAACTTACTTCTACGCCGCCTAGCGCTCCCCATCCTGGCATCGCCTCTGGTGCGCAGCGCCACAACTCCTCCTCCCGCCGAGTCGACTCCGAGCTGCGTGCCACTGGTCTGGACCTCCAGTCCAAGGCTGCGGGCCCAACCTTTGATGCGGGCTCTCAGGGAGCGCTGCGCTGTCAGGATGAACCCTTTGCCCGTTGGCTTGTCTGGTCGGACCCTGGAGACTGGGATCCCACGGGCCTCCATCTCTTCTATGTACTGGGTTGTGGCCGCATGCATCGAGGCCGAGACGTCTGCCTCCGCACCTCGGGCCTGAATGCTTAAACCATCGACAAAAAGCTTCATCGGCATGGCGGGGTGCTCCTGCGCCAACCCGTCTACGACTGACAAGATGGCTAGCTTGAGGCATCTCGTGCCCCCGCTGCTACCCGCAATGACCGCTGAGAATGTGGTGGTCGAATGCACAGACACCACGCCGCGGAAGGAAACAAAGCGCCTGGCCGTGTAAATCGAGATTAAAAGCTTCAAAAGTTGCAACCGAAACTTGTGCTTGGGCGCCTCGGCCCAAAGCAAGTACATTGTGTCATGCTCGAACGCCTTCTCAAGGTCTAGGACCGCCGTAGCCGTTACCTCGCCAGGCTGGGCCCCTTCGTCGAACAAAATTTGTTGCCAAATCGTTTCCTCTGAGCCCCCTCCTGGCGCCGCGAAGTCGTAGCCTCGTCGAATCTCCCGCTCCCAGTCATGGAGCTGATGCGAATGCGCGCGCTCCACCAGCCGCGCGGCCGTGGCGAGGAGGCCGATGGGCCTAGTCCCCCCACCCTGCTTGGCCAGCAGGAAGTACATCACGTAGCGCAGCTGGGGAGGCCACCTGGCTGTGCGCGACACGTATGCGACGAAGGCTGCCAGGAAGTCCAGCCCTTCGTCCCCCAAGCTGACGAACCACCTGGGGTGCCAGTTGTCGACCCCGACCCCCGTGTGCTCTGGGAAGGCCTTGCATATGGACCTGATGTCGTCCGCCGTCGGCTCGACCATGCTATGCTCGAAAGTGGCCGATTCCCAGGGGCGTGGGAGCTCGCCTCGGCTCTGGGCTCCGCGAGAGTTCCAGAGGTCGATCCACTTCAGCGCCTCCAGGTCGACCGCAGCATGAGGGCACGTCATGTCCAGGTTTGCGTGCCCTCGGGCTCCCAGCGTAGGGTCGACCCCCTGGCGCCACTTCGACATGCGATGGACGAGGCCTGCTCCTCCTTGTGAGCCGTCCTTAAGCCTCTGGCGCCACGCCTTGGCCCTCTGGTCTCGAAGTCCCTGCTCGATGACGTGGGCCTGCTGCGTGGCCCGACGCTGCAGCTCCATCGCCCTGGGGGCATCCTCCCAGAGCGCGTCGCCGTCCCAGGTGAGGTCGCCCAGTGCGAGGAGCTCGGCGTGCACCGCTTTGGCGTCGTCCCCCAACGCGCCGCACCAGCGGGCTGCCCCGTGGTGGCGGCGCCTGCGCAGGCGCCGCCACTGGTCGGCGTACGGCTGCCAGTCGCGCCTCTGACGGGCAGCCTGCGCCAGCCAGACGATGTCCCCGACACGGCTGGCCACCCAGCGCCATGCCCTGGAGCGCGTAGTGCCCCTGGGCCTCGCATGCGCCTCTGGGCCTGCAATCGGGGCTCTGGCCCAGCGGGGGTGACCCCCCCTGCCCGCGTAGTCGACCTCGCCAACGAGGTCGTGGATGCCCTGCAAGTCGTGCTCGGCCGCCGCCACGAAGAGGAAAGGATGATGATGATGACGACGTAGATGATCATGAGGATGAGGATGATGATGAGTATGAGGATGAGGATGTTGGTGTTGATCATGATGCTGATGACGATGATGACGATGATGACGATGATGACGATGATGACGATGGTGATGATGATGATGCTGATGATGATGATGATGGTGATGGTGATGGTGATGGTGATGATGATGATGATGATGATGACGGTGGTGGTTATGGTGGTGATGATGATGACGACGATGAGGATGAGGACGAGGATGATGATGAGGATGAGGATGATGATGATTATGGATAGTATGAGGCTGCTGATGGTGATGATGATGATGAGAATGATGATGATGAGAGGTAGGAGGAGGAGGAGGAGGAGGAGGAGGAGGAGGTGCAGGAGGAGGAGGAGGAGGAGGAGAAGAAGAAGAACGACGACGAGAGGAACAGCGGGACGAGGAGGAGGAGGAGGAGGAGGAGGAGGAGGAGGAGGAGGAGGAGGAGGAGGAGAGGGACGAGGCAGAGGATGTGGAGGAGGACGAGGAGGAAGAGGAGCACGAGGAGGAACATAACGAGGGGAAAAAGAAGAGAACGAAGAGAAAGAAGTGGAGAGAATGAGGAGGAAGGACGATAAGAACATGAGGATAGAGATGGGGGGGTGGAGGAGCAGGAGGATGAGGTGGGGGAGGAGGAACTTGGAGAGGAGGAGGAGGAGGAGGAGGAGGAGGAGGAGGAGGAGGAGGAGGAGGGAGAGTCTCAGGAGGAGGAGCAAAAGCGGAGGATCATCATGCCCACCTCTGACTTCCGATGAAGAAGAGGAGAAGGAGGAGACCGAGGAGGAGGAGGAGGAGGAGGAGGACGGGGAGGAGGGGGGGAGATGAAGAAACAGGACGAGGAAGAACAGGAGGAGGCGGAGGACGAGGAAAGAATGATGATGATGCTGATGATGATGCTGATGATGATGAGGAGGAGGAGGAGGAGGAGGATGAGGATGAGGATGAGGATGATTATGATGATTATCGATGCTGATGATGCTGATGATGATTATGATGCTGATGCGGATGCGGATGCTGATGCTGATGATGATGATGATGATGATGGTGATGATGATGTTGATGTTGATGTTGATGTTGATGTTGTTGTTGATGATGATGATGATGATGATGATGATGATGATGATGATGATGATGATGATGATGGTGATGGTGATGATGATGATGGTGATGGTGATGATGATTATGGTGATGGTGATGATGATGGTGATGATGATGCTGATGATGATAGTGATGGTGGTGATGATGATGAGGAGGAGGCGGAGGAGGAGGAGGAGAAGGAGAGGAAGAGACGGACGAGGAGGAGAAGGAGGAGGAGGAGGCGGGGGAGGAGGAGGAAGAGGAGGAGGAGGAGGAGGACGACGAGGGAGAGGATGTGGAGAAGGAGGAGGAAGAGGAGGAGGAGGAAGAGGAACACGAGGAGGAACATAGCGAGGGAAGAAAGAAGAGGACGAAGGAGGAAGGAACATAATAATATAACGATAGAGACGGGGGGGTGAAGGAGCAGGAGGTTGAAGAGGGCAAGCAGGAGGTTGAAGAGGGGGAGGAGGAGCTTGCAGAGGAGGAGGAGGAGGAGGAGGAGGAGGAGGAGAAGGGAGAGTCTGAGGAGGAGGAACAGAAGAAGAGGATCATCATGCCCACGGGGTTGGGCGTCGTACTCATGATGATGACCTTCATTCGGCGTGCAAAAGGAAGGAGGTCGAGGTCAAGGAGGACCAGGGCCTTCTGGGGGCCTTTGGGGCGCTTCTTGGGGCGCTTCTTGGGGCCTCTTGGGGCCTCTTGGGGACTTCTTGGAGGCTTCTTGAAGCCTCCTGGGGGCGTCTTGGGGGGTCGAAGGCTCGCAATTATATTTTTGTTTCCCCTCTGGGCCCCCTCTTGGGCCCGTCCTTGGGCCCCCTTGGGCCGTCGTTGGGGCCTCTTGGGCCGTTGTGCGGCCTTCGTGGGCCGTCTTGGAGCCTTCTTGGGGGCCTCTGGGCCCGTCTTGTGGCGATCATGCGGGCCTCTCGGGCCGCCTTCGACGCTGTGAAAGCCCAAGAGGCGAATACGCTGAGCATGCACGTCGACTTTCTTAACAAGCGTCGGGGGGGGGACGCCACCCCCGCGGGCAGCCCCGCATCGACCCCCGTCGCGCGCAGCCGCCGCCCGCCGAAGGCGCTCCGACCCCCGTCGCGGCGCGACGACGAGGCGAGGTGGACCCCCGTCGGGGGGGTACCTCTCCACGTTCATTGAGGAACCCAGAGTGTGCTGAACATGCACGTTCTCCGGAGGGAGTGTGGCAATGTGTCCCTCTTGGGAGCCCTCTCGGAAGCTTCTTGAGGCGTCCTGGAAGCTCCTTGGGCGGTATGGAGGCCAGCTCTGGCGTCTCGGATCGATCGTTTGACGGCTCGGGGCCCTCTGGGGTCGTCTTGGAAGCCTATTGGGGTCCTCTTGGTCCCCGTCCCCTCCTCCCCTTCCCTGGCAAAGCCACCCCCCCTGGCCCCCCCCCCAGCAGAGCTGAAGCTCAGGCTGTAGCTTCTGTAAACTCAGGCGCCGGATCGGCGGACTTGCCCGCGTTCTCGTGGTCTCGTTTCGACTGCACACGCCGTCTTGGCCATGCCAAGACTGCACGTCCACCAGCCCTCGGGCTGGACCGGTCCTGCAATCCAGGATCGGTGTGCTCATCCAGGCGGACAGTGGGCGCCCTCCCGTAGGGAGGGCGGCATGGCGCGTGGAGCCACGCGGCTGCCCAGTGGCCCCCCGAGGAGGGCGAGCCGACAGGCCGGAGGTCACCCGCAACGGCTGCGGTTCAAGTCGGTGAGGCAGGTCGGCTCCTCTGTCTCGGCCTGGCTCCCCTGCGCCGCCGCATGGATCCGCAGGCAGCGGCGAAGACTGCCCCCGGCGGAGATGTCGCCGAGCCAATGCTGCGAATGGAAGGGGGTGCCGCGCGAGATCCATCAGGAGGGGAAAAAACACACAGACACAGTTAATCGTCGACTCCCAGGAAGATGTGGGAAAATATGGGAGGTGGGGGGGGGAGAGAAAAACGCAGAAAATGTGGGAAAGTATGGGGGATCCTGCTATTATTTGTGTGCATTTATCTGTGTGTGTCCTTGGGCCCCTTCAATCCAGGAGGTGCCCCGCCCGATGACAGGTTCACCCTGGCGGCGCTGGCGTGCGCGCCCATGTTCTTCGGCCTGACCGCGTGCCTCGCTGTCCTGGGCATGCGAGCGGCACGCTTCGGGCCCGTGCCCCGCCTGGCGGAGGGCCCCGTAATCGAGGGCAGGCCAAAGGTCGCAGGCCTGGAGGTTGACACTGGCAGTATGGTGTTCTAACCTACTTTAGCCTGGATCACCAGAAAGAATTTCGAGCACCAGAAAAGTACCTCCAAGCTCGAGGGCTTTCGCGTGTCGGGCCCTGGGAGACTCGTCCGACGCTGTTTCGACGCTCTTTCGACACTTTTCTTGGTGCTCGGAATTATTTCTGGGTTGTGGTCCTGAAGTACGATGGGAGCAACATAACACCAGCACCAATATCGGCGGTGTGCTTCCACCGATGGATGGGCATCCCGATCTCGGTGATGGTGGCAATGTTGGGGCTTCGCAGGTGACCGAAAGATTACCACCACCACCAAAATCTGGGGCCATCTTCCCCAGGTGGAGGCAATCCCCCGTGTTGGTGTTGGTGCCCATTTCCAAGCCTCCAAAAAGGTGATCAGGGTAGCGGAGAGGCTGGCGGGCTTTCCTCCCTTGTGCGACCGGGGCATCGTCCTGGAGACGTGCGCCCTCTTCAGCAGCTCAACCCCAGAGTTCTGGGGCAGCGCGGCCGACGTGGACACTCGCGTGCTGCACGCGGCCGAAGTCTCATTCGGACTACAGGTTGCCAGGAGCAGCGTCGTCGGCTGGATGGAAAAGATAGGGATGACGAACGTAGAGACCGACGGAGTTGCGTTGGCAGGTGGCGCTTTCGCGGTGGACTGTCAGGAGTTGTGCGAGCGAACCGTCGCGAGCTTCGCCGATTCGGTGCTCCCCGAGGTGTCGGACGTGGCCTGCTACACGCATCCGACGACGGGCAAGGCCATTTGTGACATCGATGTCTCGCCCGATGCCCTTCGCCAGATGCAGGATTCACCCGAGGTTGTCAAGGTGAATCAATCGCAGCAGCTGAACAGTTCGGATAATGCTACAATCAGCTATGACGCGCTGGCCGAGCTGGACGACACCGAATTGCCCACGAAGGACGACGCGTTCATGAGGCTGATGGTAGCGCAGTGGTTCCGTCTTCACCCGCTTTCCTCTGTCACGCACGCCCCGAGCACGCCCAGTGATAACGTGAGTTCCACGAGCACGCCCAGTGATAACGTGAGTTCCACGAGTACGCCCGGTGATAACCTGACCACAAGTACTCCCAGCGATAACATGACGTCTACAAGCACACCAAGTGAGAACGTTAGTTTCACGGCTCGTAGGCTCTCGAGGAACGATGATTCACTGCGCTTCGCGTTAACTCGGCCAGACAGGTGATCCCCTTGCTTTTGCAATCACGATCGACGAATGATTGTTGTTGACCCCCCTCGCAGGTGCCCATTGCTTTTTCAAAGCGCCCTTCGGCTTTCGCACCCTGTGAAGAAATGGAAAGCCTTGAGCCACAAATTGTGCCCCTGGCCCCCTGGCTGCAACAACAACAACAACAACAACAACAACAACAACAGCTCACACCTGAGACATCTTCATAAGGTATGTCGGACCCGCGCTCTCGCTTGAGACTTCCTTGCAACTTACTTGCGAATCACGCTCTCGCCTGGTACTTCTTCGGGATCGACACAAGAATCGCCCAGGAATCGCGCGATCGCCAGACAACGACTTTAAAGCCGCATTCGCAATTGATTGAGGAAGTGCCAGGACGGCAATCGGGAATTGCACTCGCGCCTGGGGCTCTTCACAATACACCGTAATCGCACTCGCGCCCGAGGCTCCCTCAAAGGTTACTCATGAATCGTGCTTGAATGTCCTGGCCGTCCGACTCGCCTTCCAGGGTCCGCCCGCCCGACCCGCCCGTCAGGGTCCGCCCATCCGTTGGCCTGGAAGCCCGCCCACCCGCTGTCATGTTAGGGGGCCGCGTGCGAACCCTACCCCTACCCCCCACGATTTCTGAGGGAAAGGGTGGGGTTCACTTCGTTCGGGAGCTCTCGAGCGAAGTGAACCCCACCCTTCCCCTTAGAAGTCGTGGGGGGTAGGGGTGGGGTTCGCATGTGGCCCCCTACATCTACATGTCCCGCTCACCTTGCCCGACCGTCAGGGTCGGCCCTCCCGACCCGCTCAGCTTTGTGTCCCGCACGCCCAGTCAGTCCGTTGGGGCTCGCCCGCCCGACCCGCCTGTCCTATCTTGCCGGGGGTTACCCAGCAGCTCGAGCGAGAAGAAGGAGCCGCCACATGGGGGTACGTTCTTAAGTGGAGAGGGCGGGAGTCAGAGGTTTAGGGGTGTAGTTGTTGAGCGACGCGCGAGCAAATCAAAATGAGCCGTCTTGAAATGAGGTTTGAGATTGCTGCTCGTCCGCCTTCCTCCTGATCTTCCTCCTCCTGTTCCTCCTCCTCCGCCTCTTTCTTCCCCTCCTCTGCCTTCCTCCTACTCCTCTCCTCCATCCTCCTCCCCGTCGTGCTCTCTCATCATCCGTCCCTGATCTCCTCCTCCTCCTCCTCCTGCTCCTCCTCCTCGCCCCCCTATTCCCCGTCCCCCTCCTTCTTGCGGCTCTCACGGGCCATCGTGGGGATCACCAGCATTTTGAAGCAACGGTCTTGGTCGTCTGAGCGGCCTCGCTTGGGCCTCGCGTTCGCTGCTGGGCTTCCTCGAGGCCTCACGAACTGCCGTGGAGGGCCTCTCTCAGCAGTCCTCCCGCAGGCGGCGTCCGGACGGTCCAGGCGGCATCTTGGCACTTCCACGTGCCACCGTGAGTCCGTCCTACCAGGCCAGGGTGCCCCATTCACTATGTCCCCCCTCGGGGCACCCATCACGAGCAACGAGCATGTCCATCTCCGTGCCCTGACGGTCTGGATCCCGAGGCGCGATCCCACGGATGCGCGAGTCCGTGGATGCGCTCCGCGTTCCGCGCGGGGCGTCCGCACAGAGCCGCCCGTCATCAACAGGGTTGTGGCCGAGGAGCCCATACAAACACGGCCAAGGACTTGGCATCGCTCGGACGTGTGCATTTTTCCTTCGGCGAGGACCATCGAGGACCATCCTTGATCATTTGGCGAAAAACCACGCACGAAACCGAACAAAACACAGGGAATGGACGTCCGAGCGATGGCGAGAGGATTGGATCTGTTTCCAGCCCACGTACCCAAACCCCGCCATCTCCCTCTTCCCCCCCCCAAAGAGAAACCGCGGAATTGGCACCCCATCGCGCCGGTATCTTAGCTGGTCGGTGGATTCTTGTAGATGGGCGAACGACGGCGAATGTGACAATACCAACGGTTGGTGCACCCACGGTACGGACTGCACCGATTGCGGCGATTGCAACAGCAACACCGACGATTGTTATTGGGCAAATGATGGCGAGTGTGATGGCGAAGAGTTCTGCCATCCGGGTACGGATTGCTCAGATTGCCAGAATTGCGACGGCGGCGAGCCCATTATCGACATCGATGCGGGATCCGCCGACGCCGAAGTGGTGGTGCAGTCCATCCAGAAGGTCGCTACAGCGCAGGCATGGGCCGCGAACGCCGTTCGCAACATCGGCAACAACCAACGATCGGACCTCCTGGCAAAGTGGTTTGGCAGTAAAAGCAGCACTGTACGGCAGATCGCCAAACAGACCGCCAACTCCGTCATCGAAGTACTCGAGAGTTGCGAGATCCGGACGGATGAGCACGAGTGCAACAAGATGCCCGGGGTTTTAGCCTACGTATATCAGGGGATGAAAAACAGCCAGGGGCAGTACGTCATTTTCATGTGTGACTCTTCCTTGCAGTATAATCCTCTGACAGGGGTACTTTACCACGAGGCCGCGCATCACCCGTCTGCCAGACTGGACGACGTGATCTACGGACGTGGCGAGTGTCAGAATTTGGCACGGTCCAATCCGAACGGGGCACTTGCTAATGCTGACAGCCACGAGTACTACGTCACAGACCTGAACACGCGCTAGCATCTCTCATATGCACCGGCGTCTAGGAATGTGCACGGGTTGCCCCGGGGCGGCCCTCGGCTTGTCTGCCTTTTTTGTTTTGGACTCCACCTGGAACCATCGGTCCATCTATTCACGGCGTCCGCAAAGCGGTGAAGTTAGGTTGGCCCGGCTATGTGTTTTTCGCCCACGCGTTTCGGCGTATGGAATGAGCGAGCGAGAAGGTGAAGGCGCTGAGCTCTTAGACGCCCCAGTCCGATATGATTGTTACAGTCCCCCTCGGAACGGTCACGAGGTTGGCCAGTTTGGTAGAGGTGTGCTCGTCATCGAAGACGCCTACGGCGAATCACCGCCGCCCCCTGCCTTTGTGGAAGCGCCTATGTGGCCGAACGTTGAGGCCAGACCTGCCAAGCTATCGGACCATGTGTTCCCCGAATCGGTTTGGGAAGCCTTCGGGGAACACGTGGGCATCTTGAAGGTCATCTTGGCCGTCTGGAGGCCATTTTGACCATTTCGGGCCTTCTTGGAGAACGTCTTGAAGGGCTCGTGGGCCGTCTTGGAGGCCATCTTGAGCGTCTTGGAGGCCTCTTGGGCCGTCTTGGGGGCCTCTTGGGGCCGTCTTGGGCGCCTCTTGGGCCGTTCTGGGGCCATCTTGGAGGCCTCTTGGGCGATCCGTGGGCGATCTTTGGGGGCTCTTGGGCCGCATCGGGCCGTCGGAAGGCCGAAACGAAGCAAATGTCAAAATCCTTCAGAAGCCTACGAAAATCTATCTTTTTAGCCTTTTCTGGCCTTCCTGGAGGCCCTCTTGGAGGCCTCGTGGGCCGTCTTGGGCCAGCTGCGAGCCACCTTCGGCCATCTTGGTGGGCTCCTGGCCCGTCTGACGCCGTCGGAAGCCGTTTCGGGGGCCTTTCTGGGCCGACTTGGGGCCCTTTTGGGGTGCCCCAGGGCCGTCTTAGAGGCCATCTTGGGCGTCTTCGAGGCCTCTTGGGCCGTCTTGGTGCCCTCTTGTGGCAGTATTGGGGGCCTCTTGGGCCGTTCTGGGGCCATCTTGGAGGCCTATTGGGCGATCTTGGGGCGACCTTGGGGGCCTCTGGGGCAGTCTTGGGCCGTCGGAAAGCCAAAAAGGCGCAAATGCCAAAATCCTTCAAAAACGAAAGGAAATTCAAGGATTTTGGCTTATGCTGGCCTTCCTGGAGGACCTCTTGGAGGCCTCTTGGGCCGTCTTGGAGGCCTCTTGCGGACCTTTTGGGCAGTCTTAGACCATATTGAGGCCATCTTTGGCAGTCTTGGATGCATCTTGGGGCCATCTTAGCCGTCTTGGAGGCCATCTTGGCTGTCTTGGAGGCATCTTGCAGGCCATCTTGGGCCATCTTCGTGATTTGTTGAGGATGTCCCCAGCGAAACGGCTGTTTGGGGGGCTTCGCAGCCACCTCTGGACAAGCCTCCCGGGACCCCGGCGGGACGGGCCGAAGCCCCAGGTGGAGTTCTTTTGGAGATAGAACCAGAACCAAAACCGAGAGGGTCCAGCACGCCAGGCACCCCTTTGCTAAAACAAAAGGGGGCGGCGGATCGAAGACGCCTACGGCGAATCACCGCCGCCCCTTGCCTTTGTGGAAGCGCCTATGTGGCCGAACGTTGAGGCCAGACCTGCCAAGCTATCGGACCATGTGTTCCCCGAATCGGTTTGGAAAGCCTTCGGGGAACACGTGGGCATCTTGAAGGTCATCTTGGCCGCCTGGGGGCCATTTTGACCATTTCGGGCCTTCTTGGAGGACGTCTTGAAGGGCTCGTGGGCCGTCTTGGAGGCCATCTTGAGCGTCTTGGAGGCCTTTTGGGCCGTCTTGGGGGCCTCTTGGGGCCGTCTTGGGTGCCTCTTGGGCCGTTCTGGGGCCATCTTGGAGGCCTCTTGGGCGACCCGTGGGCGGTCTTTGGGAGCTCTTGGGCAGAATCGGGCCGTCGGAAGGCCGAAACGAAGCAAATGTCAAAGTCCTTCAAACGCCTACGGAAAATTATTTGTTTTGGCCTTTTCTGGCCTTCCTGGAGGCCCTCTTGGAGGCCTCTTGGGCCGTCTTGGGCCAGCTGCGAGCCACCTTCGGCCATCTTGGTGGGCTCCTGGCCCGTCTGACGCCGTCGGAAGCCGTTTCGGGGGCCTTTCTGGGCCGACTTGGGGCCCTCTTGGGGTGCTCCAGGGCCGTTTTAGAGGCCATCTTCGGCGTCTTCGAGGCCTCTTGGGCCGTCTTGGCGCCCTCTTGGGGCCGTCTTGGGGGTCTCTTGGGCCGTTCTGGGGCCTTCTTGGAGGCATCTTGGGCGATCTTGGGGCGACCTTGGGGGCCTCTGGGGCAGTCTTGGGCCGTCGGAAAGCCGAAAAGGCGCAAATGCCACAATCCTTCAAAAACCATAGGAAAATCAATGATTTTGGCCTCTGCGGGCCTTCCTGGAGGACCTCTTGGAGGCCTCTTGGGCCGTCTCGGAGGCCTCTTGCAGGCTTTTTGGGCAATCTTAGACCATTTTGAGGCCATCTTGGGCCGTCTTGGATGCATCTTGGAGCCATCTTAGCCGTCTTGGAGGCCATCTTGGCTGTCTTGGAGGCATCTTGCAGGCCATCTTGGGCCATCTTTGTGAATGTTTGAGGATGTCCCGAGCGAAACGGCCGTTTGTGGGGCTTTGCAGCCGCCTCTGGGCAAGCGTCCCGGGACCCCGGCGGGACGGGCCGAAGCCTCAGGGGGAGTTCTTTTGGAGATAGAACCAGAACCAAAACCGAGAGGGTCCGGCACGCCAGGCACCCCTTTGCTAAAGCAAAAGAGGGCGGCGGATCGAAGACGCTTACGGCGAATCACCGCCGCCCCCTGCCTTTGTGGAAGCGCCTATGTGGCCAAACGTTGATGCTAGACCTGCCAAGCTATCGGACCATGTGTTCCCCGAATCGGTTTGGAAAGCCTTCAGGGAACACGTGGGCATCTTGAAGGTCATCTTGGCCGTCTGGAGACCATTTTGACCCTTTCGGGCCTTCTTGGAGGACGTCTTGGAGGGCTCGTGCGCCGTCTTGGAGGCCATCTTGAGCGTCTTGGGGACCTTTTGGGTCGTCTTGGGGGCCTCTTGGGGCCGTGTCTTGGGCGATCTTTGGTGGCACCTGGGCCGTCTTGGGCCGTCGGAAGGCAGAAAAAAAGCAAATGCCACAATCCTTCAAAAACCCATGGGGAAAAATGATGTTGGCCTTTTCGGGCCTTCCTGGAGGCCTCTTGGGCCGTCTTGGGCCATCTTAGGGCCATGTTCGGCCGTCTTGGTGGGCTCCTGGTCCGTCTGACGCCGTCGGAAGCCGTTTGGGGGGCCCCTATGGGCCGACTTGGGGCCCTCTTGGAATGCTCCAGGGCTGTCTTGGAGGCCCATCTTGGGCGTCTTAAAGGCCTCCTGTGCCGCCTTGGGGGCCTCTTGGGGCCGTCTTGGGGCCCTCTTGGACTGTTCTGGGGACATCTTGGAGGCCTCTTGGGCGATCTTTCGGCGATCTTCGGGGGCTCTCGGGCCGTCTCGGGCCGTCGGAAGGCCGAAAAGAAGCAAATGCCAAAATCCGTCAAAACCCTAGGACAATCAATGTTTGGGGCCTCGTCTGGCCTTCCTGGAGGCCCTCTTGGGGACCTCTTGGGCCGTCTTGGGCCAGCTTCGAGCCAATTTCGGCCATCTTGGTGGGTTCTTGGCACGTCTGACGCCGTCGGGAGCCGTCTTGGGGGCCTTTCTGGGCCGATTTGGGGCCCTCTTTGGGCGCTTCGGGGCCGTCTCGGAGGCCATCTTGGGCGTCTTGGAGGCCATCTTGGGTGTGTTGGAGGCCTCTTGGGCCGTCTTGGGGCCCTCTTGGGGCCGTCTTGGAGACCTCTGGGGCCGTCTTGGGGCCCTTTGGGGGGCCTCTTGGGCAATCTTGGGACGACTTTGGGGGCCTCTTGGGCCGTCTCGGGCCGTCGGAAAGCCGAAAACGCGCAAATGCCAAAATCCCCCAAAAACCTAAGGAAAACCAATGATGTTGGCCTCTTCGGGCCTTCCTGGAGGACCTCTTGGAGGCCTCTTTGGCCCGTCTTGGAGGCCTCTTGGGGGTGTCTTGGGCCATCTTGGAGACCTCTTGGGAGCCTCTTGGGCCGTTTTGGGTTATCTTGAGGCCATCTTAGGCCGTCTTGGGTGCATCTTGGGCCGTCTTGGAGGCATCTTGGGGCCATCTTAGCCGCCTTGGAGGCCATCTTGGCCGTCTGGGAGGCATCTTTGAGGCCATCTTCGGCCACCGACGAGATTGGGGAATTGAGCGCCTTCCGGGTGGCCGGCGGGACGTGCCGGAGCCCCAGGGGGGAGTTCTTTTGGAAAAACAACCAAAACCAAAACCGAGAGGGTCCAGCACGCCAGGCACCCCTGCGATGAATCGACAGGGGGCGGCGGATCGAAGACGCCTACGGCGAATCACCGCCGCCCCCTGCCTTTTTGGAAGCGCCTATGTGGCCGAACGTTGAGGCCAGACCTGCCAAGCTATCGGACCATGTGTTCCCCGAATCGGTTTGGAAAGCCTTCGGGGAACGCGTGGGCATCTAGAAGGTCATCTTGGCCGTCTGGAGGCCATTTTGACCCTCTCGGGCCTTCTTGGAGGACGTCTTGCCGTCTCGGGCCGTCGGAAAGCAGAACAAAAAGCAAACGCCACAATCTTTCAAAAACCCTTTGGGAAATCAATGATTTTGGCCTTTTCGCGCCTTCCTGGAGGCCCTGTTGGAGGCCTCTTGGGCCATCTTAGGGCCATGTTCGGCCGTCTTGGTGGGCTCCTGGTCCGTCTGACGCCGTCGGAAGCCGTTTGGGGGGCCTCTATGGGCCGACTTGGGGCCATCTTAATGCTCCAGGGCTGTCTTGGAGGCCCATCTTGGGCGTCTTAAAGGCCTCCTGTGCCGTCTTGAGGGCCTCTTGGGCCGTCTTGGGGCCCTCTTGGGCCGTTCTGGGGCCATCTTGGAGGCCTCTAGGGTGATCTTTCGGCGATCTTCGGGGGCTCTTGGGCCGTCTCAGGCCGTCGGAAGGCCGAAAAGAAGCAAATGTCAAAATCTGTCAGAAACCTAAGGAAAATCTTTGTTTGGGGCCTCATCTGGCCTTCCTGGAGGCCCTCTTGGGCGCCTCTTGGGCCGTCTTGAGCCAGCTTCGAGCCAATTGAGGCCATCTTGGTGGGTTCCTGGCACGTTTGACGCCGTCGGGAGCCGTCTTGGGGGCCTTTCTGGGCCGACTTGGGGCCCTCTTGGAGCGCTTCGGGGCCGTCTTGGAGGCCATCTTGGGCGTCTTGGAGGCCATCTTGGGCGTGCTGGAGGCCTCTTGGGCCGTCTTGGGGCCCTCTTGGGGCAGTCTTGGAGGCCACTTGGGCCGTCATGGGGCCCTTTTGGGGGCCTCTTGGGGCGAACTTGGGGGCCTCTTGGGCCGTCTCGGGCCGTCGGAAAACCGAAAACGCGCAAATGCCAAAATCCTTCAAAAACCCAAGGAAAATCAATGATTTGGGCCTCTTCGAGGCTTCCTGGAGGCCCTCTTGGATCTGTGCCGTCTTGGAGGCATCTTGCGGGCCTTTTTGGGCCGTCTTGAGGCCATCTTGGGCCGTCTTGGAGGCATCTTGGAGCCATCTGAGCCGTCTTGGAAGCCATCTTGGCCATCTTGGAGGCATCTTGAGGGTCATCTTGGAGGCCATCTTGGGCCAACGTGGCCATCTTGGCACCATCTTGAGCCATCTTGGAGGGTTTTCCCGGATTGAGGGCCTTTCCGGGTGGCCGGCGGGACGTGCCGGAGCCCCATGGGGGAGCTCTTCTGGAAAAAGAACCAAAACCAAAACCAGAGAGGGTCCAGCACGCCAGGCACCCCTTTGCTAAAGCAAAAGGGGGCGGCGGATCCAGGTGCCTGCGGCAAGTCCCGCCACCGTGCCAGCTCAGACCGTTGGCTGGCAAAGGCTCGAGCACCGGAGGCCGTCACACGTGACACCTGTCGTCTGCACTGTTCGAGGATCTCTCCTTGAGCTCATTTGGGCCGTCTTGAGGCTGTCTTGGGCTCCTGTGGGGCGCCGTCTTGGGGCACCTTCTTGGGCCGTTTCGGGGCCGTCCAGGGGGGTCTCTTGGGGCCGTCGTGGAGCGGCCTTACGGCCGTCTTGGGCTGTCGAGGGGCCTTCTGAGGCCGTCTTGGGTCCCTCCCCCTTGGGACAGGCTGGGGCTCTCTTGGGGCCATCCTGGACCATCTAGGGGCATTGTCGGGCTGTCTTGAGGTCGCCTTGGAGGATTATTGTGCCATGTCATTTCGGGATTGGGCCGTCTCAGTGCCGTCTCGGAAGCCTCTGTGGCCGCCTGGAGTTGCAGGATGCCAGAAACGTCGAAGGCGGTCAGATGTCACAAACCGATGGCCAACCTGTGACTTTTGACCTCTTTTCGAGCCCTGCTGGGGGCCCTATTGGACCATCTTGGATACATTTTGGGCCATCTTGGCGGTCTTGCTGGCCTGCCTCGGCCGTCTTGGAAGCTCGGGAAGGAGGAGGAGGAGGAGGAGGAGGAGGAGGAGGAGGAGAAGGAGGAGGAGGCGGAGGCGGATTCACGTTTTCAAATGTTTTGCGAAGGGGTCGCGGCCTCGGGAGCGCCGACCATCATTGCTTTTTACTCGGTATCGTGATCTCGGGAAGCGGGGCGATGCTCGAAGAAGAAAAATCGCCATAAACATAAACTTTTGGCGCTCCGCGCGGATGCTTTGGATCCGCGCCAGGAAGGAGGGTCCAGGCGCGGATCCAAGAAATCTGCGCGGAACGCCAAAAGTTTACGTTTATGTTGTTTTTTCTTCTTGTAGATGCATGCAACAATCTGCCACTGGAGGGGGTCCCTTAGATGACTGCAGAAACGCCACCAGACAGCACTTTGCGTTATACCACGCCTACATGCCAGGGGGCGCGGTGGCGGATATCGGCTTGCATCGTGGTGATAACCAGCACGATGTGTGTTTGAGGAGGTGGAAACCTTGTTTGGGCACGTGGGAGATTCGAAGGACATCCCACCAGAAGATAGGACTCGTGCGAAGTATGCTTTTTGACATTTAGGCGGGCCCCGACGGCGTCGGGCAAAAGGACTCCCTCGGGATGTGTGCCGCATGCTGGCGACCGGCCTCCAACGCAGAGGCCAGAACGTGTTTCGGGCAGCTTTTGGTTGCTCCTGATTCCGCTCTCCGACCCAGGCCGCGGCCGAGAACCGCTTCCGCTGCAGCGAAAATACTGCACGCAATACAGTCGGGGCCCTGAAGAAGGAACCCTTTTCGTTTGGGAGGGGCTCGGTGTTCCTTGATTGTTTCACAGCTTGCCTCAGGTTTTCCTTATGTTTTCGATGGGAAATCGAAGTTTAACTTGTGGGAAAAAGGGGTCTCGTTCCTTATTTGGGGTTCCTTAGGTCAACGCCTCGACTGTAGACACCCGTCACCGTGTCGTGTCCGTGCCCCGGCCATGGAGGCCCTGCATGCCGCTCGCCGCGCGCACGAGGCGCACAGCCATCTGGACCGCGAGGAGGAGGGGGAGGAGGAGGAGGAGGAGGAGGAGGAGGAGGAAGAGGAAAAGGAGGAGGAGGGGGAGAGGAGGAGGAAAAGGAGGAGGAGGAGGCGGAGAAAAGGAGGAGGAGGAGGAGGAAAGGAGGAGGAGGCGGAGGGAGGAGGAGGGAGGAGGAGGAGGGGGGCGGAGGAGGAGGAGGAGGAGGAGGAGGGGGGGGAGGAGGGGGAGGAGGAGGAGGAGGAGGAGGAGGAGGAGGAGGAGGAGGGAGGAGGAGGAGGAGGAGGAGGAGGCGGAGGAGGAGGAGGAACCCTGGCAGGTTCAGCAGATGCTGTGCAGCAGCACGGCTCTCTGGAACAAGGGCGCACTGCGAGCGCCTGGAGGTGTTTTTGTCGGGGGGGGGGGCGCGGATCTGAGCAGGAAGCATCAGGTTGGCCAGCCGTGGCCCTCGCTTAAGCGCCGCGGGCATTCGTTTTGCAAATTTACAAGAGCTTCACGGATTGAGGGCGGGTCGTTTTCAAAATGTGGTTCTCGCCTTAGCACAGCGCATATTCGCTTTAAAAAAGTTGCAGTAGTTTCACCGACTCCCATCATCAACGTACCAGAAATGGTGTTTTGGAAGGATTCAGGATTATGCGGGCGCAGCAGTTATATGTTGATTCGCTGTGCTGGAGTCCCAAAAATGGCGTTCTGACACGATTCTTGATCGTCAGGACGCAGCAGTCAGGATGATACGTGGCGTTGAAATCCAGAGAACAATGCTTTGGCACGCTTCAGGATATTCAAACTGTTGTCTTTCAGCGAGGCAGTTCCCTCAATGGAAATGAACCGCTGTAGGGGCCTATGAAGAGGGAGCTTTGAGGGAGGGTTGATTCCAACATCGTTGATGACTCTTGGTTTTCCACTGCTGGTCCTCCCTCTCCTCCTCCTCCTCCTCCTCCTCCTCCCTCCCTCCTCTCTCCCCCCCTCGTCCTCCGTCCTTCTTCTCCTCCTCCTCCTCCTCCTCCTCCTCCTCCTCCTCCTCCTCCTCCTCCTCCTCCTCCTCCTCCTCCTCCTCCCCCCTCGTCCTCCTCCGCCTCCTCCTCCTCCTCCTCTTCCTCCTCCTACCTGTCCTCCTCATGTTTCTAATCCTCGTCTCTTACTTTACGTCTTGTCTGAGATCCTTACCCGACCGTGTCCAGATCAGATCGAGTCAAATCTGCCCGGCTTGCCCCCCCGTCGGTCCCCTCGCGCAGCGGTGCACCAGCACGCCCCTCCGCCGCCCTGCGGGCGATCGGCGCCCGCAGGTGAGCGCCTACGGGAGCGAGGTGATGATCAAAGAGGTCGCGACCATCACCGCCACCGACGCGTTGGAGGGGCGGCAAGGGGGATGTAGACGACGACGGATGGAGGGATGACGATCGCTGTTGCCCCCCCCCAGGCGGTGTTTGCACTGAAGGTGTCTGCTTTGTCTGGATAGGGATTGGAAACGATCGATGCGATCTCCGTGTTCTCGACCTGCTGCTCCATGGGTGGCTGTCTTCGGCGGGTCACATATGATGCCTCTGATGTCTGCGATTTTCGCATTCCTGCCCTGGTGCCCTTAGTTCGAAAGGAATTGGATTCGCTCGTTCCGATTTCTGGTTGCCGCCCTGTCATATCTGCTCTATAGTTGTTGCGATGTCTGGCTGCTGCCCTGGCACATAGGTTGCACTGCATAGGTCCCCATTCCAAAAAGAAGAGCTTGAATGTACTCCCCTGCCGAGGCAGGACTTACCCGTTCACATTCTTGTATTCGATATGAACTATGCACATCTTTCGTCTAAACATTCAAGCGATCGCATGCCAGCCAGGCCCTGTATCGCCCGCCCATGCTCGTCAAGCAATCTCATGCGATACACATGCGTTGATCTGAGAAGAGCTCTCTTCCAAAACCCCTTGCACAAAATGCAATGCGGGCCAGGCCACATGCTCGCGCCGCCGCGTGCGCATGTCAAAACCATTCGGAAACAACCCAGCCGCCTGCGGCAAATCCCGCCACCGTGCCAGCCCAACATTCTGGGTGGCGATTGCTCGAGGGGGCACGGGAGGCCGTCACGTGTGACGCCTCGTGTTTCCAGGCTTGGGAGAGTCGTGAAAAGGATTATGAAGATCATGAAAATGATGGGGATGATGACGATAATTGCATTAATCGGCGATTATGACAAATGATGATGATGCTGATGATGATGATGATGATGATGGTAAGGTTGATGATGGTGACGATGATGATGATGATGATGATGATGATGATGATGATGATGATGATGATGGTGATGGTGATGGTGATGATCATGATTGCGGTGATGATGATGGTGCTGATGATGGTGGTGATGTTAGTGATAGTGATGGTGATAGTGGTGACGATGATGATGATGATGATGATGACGACGATGATGATGATGATGATGATGACGATGATAGTGGCAGTGGTGGTGGCGATGATGATGGTGGTGGTGGCGGTGGTGATAATGATTATGTTGATGTTGATGACAATTGTGATTATGGTTGTAATGATAATGTTCATGGTACTTATAATGATGACGACGACGATAGTGACGATGATGACGATGATGATAATGATGGTGATGCTGCTGTTGATGACGATGGCGATGATAATGGTGCTGGTGATGGTGATGATGATGGTGATGATGTTGATGATGATGATGCTGAGGATGATGCTGATGGTGATGATGGTGATGGTGATGGTGACGGTGGTGATGATGATGGCGGTGATGGTGATGATCATGATGATGACGATGACGATGATGAGGATGATGATGATGATGATGATGATGATGATGATGACGATGCTGAGCATGATGCTGAGCATGATGATGATGATGATAATGATAATGATGACGATGATGATGATGGTGATGATGATGATGATGATGATGATGATGATGATGATGATGATGATGATGATGAAACTCGTTCGGGCCGTCTTGGGGCTGTCTTGGCCTCCCTGTGATGCAATCTGGGGGGTCCCTTAGGTCCCCCTTGGGCCATCTTGGGGCCTCTTACGAAGGCTTGGGGTGTTCTTGGGCCGTCTTGGGGCTGCCTTGGCGCCGTGTTTGGCAGTCACATGGCCTTCTCAGGCAGTCCTGGGCAGTCTTGAGGCCGTTTTTGATGCCACTCGGGTCATCGTGGATTATTCGTGGGCCATCTTGAGCTGACGGCAGCCCGAAACGGCGAGAATGCGAGAATCATTCGACAACCTTTTGGGGGAATCGATGACTTGGGCTTCTTCGGACCCTGTCGAAGGTCCTTTTGTGGCCCTGCTGGGCCCTCTTGGAGATATTTCGTGCCGTCTTGAAGCAATGTTCGGCCGCCTTGAGGCCATCTTGGGCTGACTTCGAGGCATCGTGGCCCGTCTTGGAGCAATTGGTTGCCTGCACGGACCGTCTTGGAAGCTCGGCGACGCATCTCCATCGCTTAAGAGTAGGGATGGTGACCAGGGAGACCCTGGGGCGCTCGGGAGCAGCGCCTGGAAATGTGGGACGTGCACGATTCTCGAGCGGGTGCGCGGGGGGTGAGGAGTCTAGGAGGTGGCAGCCATGCGGGACGTGCGACATCTTTGAGCGGGCGCGCATGGAGTGAGGGTTCAGGCCATAGCTGCCATGCGGGAGGTACACCATCTTCGAGCGGGCACGCGTGGAAGTGGGGCTCGGGCATTCGCTGCCATGCGGGAGGTGCACCATCCTCGAGCGAGCACGCGTGGAAGGGGGGGGGTCAGGCATCAGCTGCCAGGCGGGAAGTTCACCATCCTCGAGCGGCCAAGCGTGGAAGGGGGGTTCAGGCATTAGCTGCCATGAAAAAAAGTGCACCACCCTCGAGCGGCCATGCATAGAAGGGAGGTTCAGGCATGAGCTGCCAGGCGGGAAGTGCGCAATCCTCGAGCGAGCACGCGTGGAAGATGCTGCAAGCACACCGCCCTGGAGCGGGCACGAGCCCCCAAACCCTATCAGGCAGACCTTAGCATGGTGATCGTTTTTCATTCACTGTTCTGCCGATGGGCGCGGGCCCCCAAACCCCCCCCTCCTCCCCCCCCCCATGGAGTAGATCTTGGCTGTTTTTTGGCGCCTGCTTCGAGCGGGTGGGACAGTCACACTAGCAGAGGTCCGGAGCCAGACCCCCCCCTTCCCCCCCCCCCTTTCCGCCCAATGTCGAAACGCCGAACAAAATGATCCCGGCAAAGCAACCTAACAGCGATATGTATAAGCATATTTGGAAGCATTCCCCTTCAGATTCAGGTGAGAATCCAGTTGTAGAATTCTGTTGTTCTCGCAGTCGCAGTCGCAGTCGCATTCGCAATGACAGTCGCAGTGGCAACGGCCTTAGGATCCAATGGAATCCTAAGAATTCCTATGGATTCCTAAGGCATCCTTAGGCATCCTCAGAAATCCATAGGAATCCTTAGGAAAACTTAGGAATCCTTAGGAATCCTGGTTCCTAGGGATTCCTAGGGATTCCTAAGGATTCCTGGGGAATCCAAAGGATTCCTAAGGATTTCTGAGGATGCGAGGATGCTTAACTATGCACACGGATTCCTAAGGATGCCTACGGATTCCTAAGGATTCCTAGGGATTCCTAAGGATTCCTATGGATTCCTACGGATGCCTCAGCCTGCCTCAGCCGCAGCCTCAGCCTCAGCCTGCCTCGGCCTCAGCCTCAGCCTCAGCCTCAGCCTGCCTCGGCCTCAGCCTCAGCCTCAGCCTCAGCCTCAGCCTCAGCCTGCCTCGGCCTCAGCCTGCATCAGCCTCAGCCTCAGCCTGCCTCAGCCGCAGCTTGCCTCAGCCACAGCCTCAGCCTCAGCCTCAGCCTCAGCCTCAGCCTCAGCCTCAGCCTCCTCAGCCTGCCTCGGCTTGCCTCAGCCTCAGCCTCAGCCTGCCTCGGCCTCAGCCTGCCTCGGCCTCAGCCTGCCTCAGCCTCCCCTCCTCCCCCCCCTTTCCCACCCACCCCACCCCATGCAGCCTCACCTTGTCTCAACTTCGGCCTGCCTCGGCCTCATCCTCAGCCTCAGCCTCACTCTCAGCCTCAGCCTGTCTCGGCCTGAGCCTGCCTCAGCCTCAGCCTCAGCCTGCCTCAGCCTCAGCCTGCCTCAGCCTCAGCCTCAGCCTCCTCAGCCTCAGCCTGCTCAGCCTCAGCCTCAGCCTCAGCCTGCCTCAGCCTCAGCCTCAGCCTCAGCCTCAGCCTCAGCCTCAGCCTCAGCCTCAGCCTGCCTCGGCCTCAGCCTCAGCCTCAGCCTGCCTCAGCCTCAGCCTCAGCCTGCCTCAGCCTCAGCCTGCATCAGCCTCAGCCTCAGCCTCCTCAGTCGGCCTCAGCCTCAGCCTCAGCCTCAGCCTCAGCCTCAGCAGCCTCAGCCTCAGCCTCAGCCTCAGCCTCAGCCTCAGCCTCTCAGCCTCAGCCTCAGCCTCAGCCTCAGCCTCAGCCTCAGCCAGCCCTCGGCCTCAGCCTGCCTCAGCCTCAGCCTGCCTTCAGCCTGCGTCAGCCTCAGCCTCAGCCTCAGCCTGCCTCAGCCTCAGCCTCAGCCTGCCTCGGCGTGCCTCAGCCTCAGCCTCAGCCTCAGCCTGCCTCGGCCTCAGCCTGCCTCGGCCTCAGCCTGCATCAGCTCGGGCATTCAAAATATGACACAGGATTTATGTTTTGGGAAGACGAAGAACACGAAGTGGCCCACAGTTGGCTCCGGGCAATCAAAATATTGTACAGGAATGGTGTTCTGGGAACACGAAGAACACGAAGTGGCCTACAGTTGGCTCCGGGCATTCAAAATGTGGCCTGGGAATGGTGCTCTGGGAACACGAAGAACACGAAGTGGCCTACAGTTAGCTCCGGGCATTCAAAATATGGCCTGGGAATGGTGTTCTGGGAGCACGAAGAACACGAAATGGCCTACAGTTAGCTCCGGGCATTCAAAATATGGCCTGGGAATGGTGTTCTGGGAGCACGAAGAACACGAAGTGGCCTACAGGTGGCTCCGGGCATTCAAAATGTGGCCTGGGAGTGGTGTTCTGGGAATGGATTCCTCAGGGTTCCTAAGAATTCCTAAGGATTCCTAAGGATTCCTGGGGCTGACCCTTTTGTCCGGTTTTGTCCGGATCCCGCCCAGACCCCCTTGGGGCGTCAAGATGCCCTCTTTGCCCACTAGAAACCTATCAGCAAAAGCTGTTAGGTAAAGACGCTCACATTCTTCCACGCCTCAGCGCGCCAGGGGGCGCGGTGGCGAATGTTGGCGTTCTCATTGTTCACAGACAGATCTGCTCGAAACATATCAGGAAGCATGGCCTTGTCAACAGAAGACTGCCAGATTGCTGCGCGCGCAGTCGCCGAA